CATAGAGAATCATATCATGTTGCAGATTCTAGATTCTCTACCTTTTGGTATACCGCTTGTATGTGGGTGAGATTCTCCCGTTATAGAATTATTTACCTTATCACAAAAAAATAAAAAAAATTAATGCAGACAGAGGTGTATGTGTAATGTAGGTCATGTAACATATATAAGGACTAATCGAAAGCCACCTGACGGTTAGAGTATTGACTTATGAGAACTTAAGGTGTGCCATGGGCTAGTTGATATAGTTAATTCTCACATTTGCTTGAATTTTGTGTTTATTGTGGTAGATTGGAATGTCAAGCGCGACAGAAACGCTTTGTGGGCAAGCATATGGAGCAGGACAGTATCATATGATGGGAATCTACCTGCAAAGATCATGGATTGTTGATTTCATTACATTGACCGTCTTGCTTCCCTTTTTCATCTTTGCCACTGCAATCTTTAAGCTACTCGGTGAGAATGGATCAATTGCGGAAGCTTCTGGATACGTTTCCTATTGGTTCATTCCCTTTGTCTACAACTTCGTATTTAGCTTGACTATCCAGATGTTCCTTCAAGCACAACAGAAGAACATGATTATTGCTTGGCTATCTATAGCACAATTTGTAATCCACATTCCGTTGTCTTGGCTACTGGTTATCAAGCTAAACTATGGAGTCCCTGGTGCCATGATTGCGTTGAGCATATCATCGTGGTTTGTAGTGGTCGGGGAGTTTGTGTACATCTTAGGAGGTTGGTGCCCTAACACATGGAAAGGATTCTCTTCAGCAGCGTTGAAAGATATACTACCTGTCGTGAAGCTTTCAATATCCTCCGGTATCATGGTTTGGTAAATCGTTTTCCTTAACTTTTTATTCTCAATTTTATCATTAGACATTCTTAATGTGCATGAGCAGTGCTGCACCAGTAATGTGGAGTTTACAAGCTATATCAAATTGTTGATGAGTTAGACCTTCGACCAAATTTTAACTTCACTAAACACATTTTATAATCTGAAATTACCCGAGGGGTTAATTGGTTCTTGTTTTTGGTTGCTTTCACAGCTTGGAGCTATGGTACAANACTTTTCCTTAACTTGTTCTTCTCGATTTTATCATTAGACATTCTTGATGTGCATGAGTAGTGCTGCACCAGTAATACGGAGTTTACAACCTATATCAAATTGTTTGCGAGTTAGACCTCTGACCAAATTTAAACTTCACTAAACACATTTTATAATCTGAAATTAGCTTTTACCAGAGGAGTTAATTGGTTCTTGTTTTTTGGTTATTTTCACAGCTTGGAGCTATGGTACAATGCTGTTCTAGTCCTGCTCGCAGGATATATGAAGAATGCTGAAGTTGCGATATCTGCCTTCTCTATCTGGTGAGATTTTCTTTCTATCTCTTTTCCTTTTTACAATGGCTGATTTCATTTTGTTTGCTGCACAAAGAACATACTGATCGATGACAATAATTTAATTTTGCAGCCTCAATATCAACGGATGGGAGTTTATGATAAGCCTTGGCTTTCTTGGAGCTGCTTGGTACGCGACTATTTCCCTATGAATCATCGATATCTCTTTCCATCTAGTGCTTTAGCCACCTTCCATCTTGACTTTTTTTTCCTTCAATTGTTTCCTCGTACAGTGTCCGTGTAGCAAATGAACTGGGCAAAGGAGACGCTAAGGCTACAAAATTCTCCATTAAAGTCTTAGTGGGCACTTCACTTATAATTGGATTGTTCTTCTGGATTCTGTGCTTAATCTTTGGCAGCAAGCTTGGTTACTTATTCAGCAATGAGAAGGCGGTAGCTGACAGCGTCGCGGACCTTTCTACTTTACTCGCATTTTCAATTTTGCTCAACAGCATTTATCCTGTACTCTCAGGTAAGCTTTTAATCCTCTGGAATAGCTAGAACTCAAAAGAAAAAATTGAGAAAGATGACAAATTTACCAAAAATGTTTGAAACAATGTACTATGTGTTTCATAGTATTTCTTGACACTTGAAAATTTTGTAAATAGGTGTGGCAGTAGGAGCAGGTTTACAAAGCACAGTTGCAATCATAAATTTGTGTTGCTTCTATTTGATTGGAGTACCTATTGGAGCTTTGCTTGGATATGTGGCTCATCTTCAAGTGAAGGTAATTTTCACTTAAAATCAAGGATCTCTAGATTCGTTTAACGTTACATTTTTGAATTTGAAACCATGTAAGGTTAAGTGTGAGATTTAGAGCGCCTTTAAAAAAGGCAGCCCGGTGCACTAAGCTATCGCTATGCACAGGGTCCGGGGAAAGGCCAGACCACAAGGTTCTATTGTACGCAGTCTTACCTTGCAAAAATGCAAGAGAATGTTTCTACGGCTCGAACCCGTGACCTCCTGGTCGCATGACAACAACTTTACCAGTTGTGCCTAGGCTCTCCTTCTTAGAGCGCCTTTAAGAACTCCTAATTTGCTTTAATAGACAAGATTATTTAGTATTGGAATGAAATGGACCTGAATAGTGTCAAATGGATACCGATGATTCGCATGTTTAATCTGAAATCTCTTTGATTTGTTCTTTTTGTTATCAGGGTATATGGATTGGAATGATATGTGGAGTAGTTACTCAATCAGCTGCATTATGCTACATGACATGGAAAACAGATTGGGATGGAGAGGTATATTAAATTTTAAATATATGCAACTTTTCTGCATATAATAACTTGCAAACATCATACTAATTCTATTATGTATGTTTTATAAATTATGTTGCAGGTATCGAAGGCCAAACAACGACTCAATCGATGGTACTTGAAATCTCCTGAAGAGTCTAATCAAAATGATCAAGCTTGAGAATCTCAAGTAACTAAGTCGGATTCTTTAGATTTTTGCCTCTTAGTTTTTCACGTTTTGCTTGTATTTCTCTTGCTAGTCTTTATTCTTTTTTTTTTTTTTGGTTGTATTTTTGGTTAAATAGCTTACAATTTCAGATCGAATTTTGCTGTGGTATTTTTTGATTATGAGCTCGAATTTTCACCTTTGATGGATAATTTATTGATCCACCATCCAATTATCACTTACTGAATTTTTTCTAGTCTTTTTAAAATTGTTCTCGACCGTGTGAAATTCCATTTTATTTAGTGTTAAATACTCTAGTTCCTTTGAATGCCCTCCTATATAGAGTAAATTAATCCTCAATATTCACTACAAAAATGGTGTTCAGTTTAGGATTATGGGGGTATTAATTGAAGAGCATTTTAAATATATTAGTATGTTTCACATTGCTTGAGGGGATAGATTATTAGGATTATGGGAGTAAAATTGAAGAGCATTTTAAATATATTAGTGCGCCTCACATTGGTTGAGGGGATAGATTATCGTCTCTCCGTATATGATCTTGGGACAATCATATTTCATGAGCTAACTTTAGAGTTGAGTAATCCCTAGTTCATTTTCTTCACATCAAATCCTTGACAAACTCATCTGTCTTGTTTGGTTTATCTAATATTGGGGCCTCTTGTTATATCATGCTTTCAAGTGTCCAAACCTGGTCTGCGGCGTATCCTTAGAACGTCTACATTGGTCGAGAGCTATGTTGCGCGAACTCTTCAAAATGCTGTTGCACCCATGTCGGATCCTCCAAAAATACACTACTTTTGGAGGATCCGACACAGATGCGGCAGCATATTAGAGAATCTGCGCAACATATTTTTGGAGGATCCAACACGCACCCGGCGACATTTTCGGAAAGTCCGAGCAACATCGAGAGAATGAGCTAATTTTCGAGTTAAAGGCTACTGTCCATTTTCTTCTCAAGATCAAACAAAAACCAGAACATTTGTCTCAACTCTAAATCATGTACATCAGAACTTTCCAGCCAACATAATGCACTTGGGGAGAGAATCTTAAACATGGTGTATTAGCATATACAGTGGTTACAGAGGTGTAAAAATTAAATAAAACTAACATCTTGGAGTAAACTGAGGTACATTATCTCCTCAATAGATTATAGGCAGGCAAATCTTTTACAGTGGAGGTATCTTCCAGACCAAGCTCGCGCTCTAGCTGCAGTCTTGTGGCCTTCAAAACATCCTAAGAAAAGGAAAGTAAAAGGAACATGTGTTGGTATGGCTACATACATGGGAAAAAAAAATCCAATGGTAAGTAAACTGTTACCAACATTAAATTCCATATATGATGCACGCTTCACTAGCCACTGTGCGTCGAGCATTTCAAAGGCGATACAAAACAGGTTGTCAAACGCCATGTCATCCTCGCTGAGTAATTCTAGGAAGCGGATACCTGCCAGGGTGTTTGGTGTCCCTGCCACTCAAAAAGAAGTATTAAAAAGTTCAGAAAAGAGAGGACGACCTGATATCGATAAAATCTTAGATTACTCTGTGAAAAAAGAACAAAGGGAATATAATGACAGAGATCATACACAAGATCAACAAATTCTTCCAGTGTATTAGAAGGAATGATGATACTAGAGCATATGATCACGCAATAGATTTGCAGAATAATTCGTTCTGGACAATTTAATTACCACTAAATTTATTTGAAAGGATGCACTGGAAGCTGTTGACTGTTTACATAATCACCATGTATTTCTCAGCCTAAAAAATGGAAGACACTCTAACCTCTAACTGAATGTTACCATACCTGATTGAAGATCCAACATTTGGACCAACATAAATGATATATTGATGCCAGCGACAGCAAATGGATACTCCCACTCAGATCTGTTCCCCTTTCGTTTGTGCAACAGGTTCTGGAAAGATTCCTGCAATAGAGCAGGCGGCAAAGGAGAAACTATAGTGAAAAACTTACTTGCTCTAGAGGACAAAAGAATAACAGTCCCAACTCTCAACTGACCTAAATTATGCATTTCTAAACCGTTATATACATCAGGCTTCACAAAGCAAGTGCCCAAATATTAGGAGTCTGATGAGTTATTCTCCAGAGAGAAAAAGGATATGTTGAAGATAAGAACTGCTAAAGAACATGGATTGCTCCATGAAACATAAACTAAGAATCATCCTCTTTCTTCAGTATTAATACCAAGATGAGGAGAAGGCTCTCAGCTCAGTCTAGTAACTAACTTTTGCGACTCTAGCCATACATGCAAAGAATTCCGAGTCTTCTTTCACCCAGGGTCCCAGGGGAGGACAATTTGGCAATTTTATTGTAGTTTATCCTACAAAAATTCACTTCTCTTTCCACCCCTATTCTCTTTCATGGAGCTTTATATATATTTTTTCCGGGGGGAAACTCTCGCATATCATATTTCCTCATTCTGCAGAGATTCTAAAATTCAACATAAACATAACACACAGACTAGGGCTGTCTAAGGGGAGGGTACTAGGACATTAAGGGTTAAGGGTATGGGCAGGGTAAGGGTAAGGGGAAGGTTCCTTAAGGATACTTTTCTTAAGGGTATGGGTTAAGGGTAATCTTTTTGTTACCCTACCAGTACCCATACCGGTCCTAAGGGTGCGGTACTGGTACTTAGCGATAAATTTAAATTAAATAAAAAACGGACAGATTTTAAATTAAAACAGAAAACCGTTGGGTACGCACCAGTACGGTACCTTAAGGTTACTTACGCTACCGGTACTAAGGGTACTATTTCGGATACCCTACCATTACCCTTACCCTTCACCCCAGATCCCTCACACCCACCCACCCACCTGAGCAGTACGGTACGGTACGGTACAGGTACGGTACCGATATTACCCTACCCTTACTATAGACATACATATAACTGACTGTCCAAAAACACATAGATGAAAAGACAGTTCCAATCAGAACAAACACCAGGTAAATTAGTTGATGTACGAACCGGGTGTGTCTTGGCAAAGAAGATAAGGTTCTCCAATGATATGAATCCTCCACCCCTGGACATTAGTGTTCATTATCTCAGTATAAGCACCAGAAGGAGAAGCGCAGCAAAATTCTGAATCAAATATACACCCCTTATACCTGAAATCTGTTGAAGGGTCAGATCCTTGCCAACCCATTTCTTTCCAAAGCTCGGATTTAAGAGATGGGAGCGGTCTATCAGGATAAGATAACCTCCATAGTTGCCTAAGAGCATCCTGGCACCAAATTTGGAATTTTTTTGAGTAGGAAAAAATTAACGAGCCATAAAATATAGGTTCCGACATACGAGAGTAGAGTATCTTGCTAAACATGTTTAAGAGATATAACTAAGTCCTTCCTTCATAAGAGAAATCACATGTAATCAATTAAAAGAAAAGCAGTTTGATGCTCTCCTTTTTATTTTTCTCGTCACCAGCTTAAAATAAGGTACTATATTTTGCTTGATCTCATACTATTTAGCTGTTCTTTCAGTCACAAATGAGATGTGTGTGCGTGTGTGTGTTTGTAAATGAAAAGCTTTCCAGTAATTCAAAAGTCGCAAGGAGAAAAACCAGAGTAAGTCATGATATCTTCTCATAACAAAGCAACCATCTAACATGTGAACCTCCCAAAAGTTAGTACATAATCCGTACATAATTTTGACAAGGAGCTTTCAGACTAATAAACTTGGACCATCCATTGATCAGAACCACGCGGCAGTAACGACTCAAGTCAATGCCTCGTTCCTACATTGTTGCAACCTCCTCTATTGCTTATGAAGAGAAAAAGGTAAACATTTGAAAAGGTGTTCAGAAAGAAAGAAAGCAATGGTACAAGTTTCCATACTTGATGATCCAAGAAAGAGCCATCAAAAGGGATTGCTAGCCTTTGCTTGAGATGTTTCAGCCTTGCTTCCTACAATCAAATGTTAAAGAATTTAAGGTAATGAATGACAGAAAATCAGAAATCATGGATCAATAAACAGAGAAACAAAATATGAATGATAGGCAGGTAGCTAGATAAGCTTAACGGATAATTTTTATTATTTTGGGTTTTTTTT